CAGCGCCCGCAGTGTCCCCAGCTCCCTCAGTGTCCCCAGCTCCCTCAGTGTCCCCAGCTCCCTCAGTGTCCCCAGCGCCCGCAGTGTCCCCAGCTCCCTCAGTGTCCCCAGTGCCCTCAGCGCCCGCAGTGTCCCCAGCGCCCTCAGTGTCCCCAGTGCCCTCAGCGCCCGCAGTGTCCCCAGCTCCCTCAGTGCCCTCAGCGCCCCGGCTCCCGCTGCCGCAGAGCCCGGAGAGCTGCGGGGTGCGAAATTCCTCCTTGAGGCGGGCAGGCCCTGGCACAGGGTGCCCAGAGCAGCTGGGGCTGCCCCTGGATCCCTGGAAGCGCCAGGGGCAGGCCGGACGGGGCTTGGAGCTGCCTGGGATGGTGGAAGGTGTCCCTGCCATGGCAGGGGTTGGGATGGGATCAGCTTTAAGGTCCCTCACCGTGCGGACTCCTTGCCCCGGAGCAGCGGATGAAATCCTCCCTCGGCAAGCAGGGGAAGGGCCGGTCCCGGTGCTCCGGGCCCAGCCCTGCGGGCACGGCCGAGGGCAGCTGCCCTGTGCCTCAGCACTGACAAGCTCACTGTTTAGAAAGAAAAAATCCGGAATTGAGAAAAAGCACAGCCAGGGCAGGGTTGGGCACTCCCAGTTCCAGGATGTGGGGAATCAAATGGGAAAGTTAAAAACATTCATTACCTTTTTTCCTTCCCAACCTGTCCTTTCCAGAGCAGCAGCCCAGCTCTGGAGCACTGAGGCAGGAGCGAGCGAGGACAGAGGCAGCCACAGCTGTGGGGACATGCAGCATTTGTGGTCCTGATCGTGTAAAGCAGCATCACAGGGAGGAGTGACACCAACAGGGGAGAGTTTTTAGAACCACTCAGTAGAAAGGCCCAAATAAACTGACAAGTTAAAAAATATTTATTTAATGTGAACTTTTGTACTCTACAAATACACAAGTCCCAGAAGGTTCAGCAGCAGCAAATGAAACAAAAAGTTTAATAAACAGTGATTCCATCTTGGGGAAATTCATCCAGTAATTGCGTTTCCCACTTATGATACGGAATACGAAGGCTGAAGGAAGCTCCTGGATTTGGGTTTGGGCAGTGCCATCATGGCCAGCTTTCCAGCAGCCCCCTGTGAGCCACCAACGCTGTAGGACACGGAGCTGGCACCAGAGGAAGCTGGAGCCTTCGAGCTTGGCAGCTTCTTGGTCCTTCTGTACCTGCTGTAGCCACTGCAAAAACCAGAGAGAAGGTGTGAGACACCTGTGCCACCTGCCCTGGTCCCTGCACCAGTCCCCGCTCACACAGGCACCACCACTGCACTTTCTAGACTACACACTCATTTTGTAGAATTATTTTTTTTTTTAATGCACATGGCTGCAAAATGACCTCTGAAATGCAAACAGTCCAGCTGTTGCTCTGGGATGTACCCAAGGGTGAGCAGCAACAGCAAGTGACACTGCAGAGGCTGCAGCAGCTAATGACAGACATTCCAGTAGATGGGAAAGTGCCAAGGGTGAGACAAAACCTGCTGGGCTGGGAAAACCATTTGCTACAAACAGGGAGCAGAATGATGAAAAATGGGGCAGGGAAGGGGAAAATCCTTGGGAAGAGGCAGATCTGCCCTAGAAGCTCAAGACCAACCAAGAGCAGATGCAGGTGTTGCCTTGCATGATACAATCAGAGGGAGAATCTGAATTAACAAGAGGCTGAAGTTCAAGTATTCCACCAAATGTTCAAAGTTTTAAGACCTCTTTCTGATTTCAAGCAAGGAACCTGGTCAGCCTGCTAATGCTGGCTTTGGCAGAACACTGAAATGTCGTGTTCCCTGCTTAGCCTGTGGCAGTCAAATGTGAGGACAACCATTAAATATCCTTCCTCACCAGCTTTGTAAACCAAACTCGCAGAAAAGCACAGCAGAGCAGTTCTGACCAGGCACTGGGTCATTTTAACACCATTATTTAAGCCCATACCCAAGGAACTGCAGTGGGATAAGGGATTCTGGGATCATCACAAGGCAGTGACAAGTGACCCAGGCACGTACCCTCTGGGGTGGAACTGCTGGCTGCCACCACCACTCGTCTTTTTCCTCTTGGAGTCCCTGGAGTTGGGCAGCCGCTTCCTTTTCCTCCTCTGGTTTGTGTTATTGCCGAAATAGCCGGAGGTTGTAGCTGCATCCTCTGCTTCTCCATCGCTCCCCAGCGAGGCAGCGCTCCCTGTGTCTGCACCCGGGCAGGCAGCGTCTTCTACCCACAGGCAGGGAGAGAAAACCACCTCAGTCAGGGTATCACCCAGGCCAGTCATCACCAGAACACACTGGTGGCATCAAAACATCTGTCCTGGCTGTTCCTCACCTCCTGTGCACTGCCCCATCCCCAGTCTGTCAGAGATACCCTGAATTAGGGAAGGTAAAAAGGCTTTGGGGTGTTCGGAGAGTGACCGCTCCCTTTTGGAATTATTGGACTGTAAAAATTGGGTATTTGTGATTAAATCGTGGTAACTTTTGAATCAAACATCTGCTGGAGGAGGAGAGAAAGGCCCTGAACAGGAAGTACAGGTGAGGTACAAAGCACACCTTGGATGGAGTATTCTGAGTACTTATCCATCACTTTAATTATTTCTGCACCGTATTTCTCCAGTTTGTCTTCTGTGACACCATCGATCTGCAGCAATACCTCCATGTCTGAGGACAAGGTTTCTGCAACACAACAAAGTATCCCTCAGACATGTCAAACAAATAACGTTTTATAAAGATACCCTGAAGGAAATTAATTCCTTTCCATGCTCCTCTACGCAAAAGCCCCAAAGGACTCTGAGAAACCTGATCTTACCTGCTATTTTCTTTAGGGTGGAAGTACTGAAAATATTGAAGTAATGCACATCAAAGACTTTGCCCAGGGTTTTGCAGGTGTCTGTAAGTTCACTGAGGCACTGCTTAACAACCTCTTCCCGCTGGGACATCTTTCCCATGGAAGCCCTTTGCCTTCTGATGGCACTGGCACTCTCTGTCTCGTGGAACTCCACCTGTTAAAACGAGCCATCCATAACTCCTGCCAGATCACCCTGACTGATTAACACAGGAACACAGCACAGGAAACACAGAGTATCCTTTGATGGACCAAAAAATGATGTTTACCCAGTACTCATTTTTAAAATAATTTTTTACAGGCTACTCAACCACACCCAGGTTTCTTCTCAAAGAGCTGGCAGAGTTTTGAGAGAAGGAAAACCTCCCAAGAGCCAGTTCCCAGCAGAGATCACTGGGGCAATGCTGAGGGCTCTGTCCTGCTCCAAACACAGCACTAATGCAGAGGAGAATTGTCCCAAGAGACCTGGACCTTTCATGGAGTGCCTATTCCATCAGATCCTACCAATGACTAGGAAAAAACAGAGTAGAAAATGAAGAAGAGAGTGCTGGCCTTTCTTCTTTCTCTTCTTAGCCATCTTTCTGTGGGGGTCAGAACTTTCCTTCACTGTCCAGCAGGAATCAGATGGGTGGGGAAGAAGATTTAAACCTCTCCAAGCCTCTCAAACTCACTTTTTTCCCCACAGCATTGTTACTGGAATACTGGGCTAGGAATCACAGGTGTTGGATTCTGTTCCTTGAACCTACCAGACATTAGTTTGGCTGGAGGCAAACTGTGTTTAAGCTACCCGAGGGGATATGCTGAAGGAAAACTGCAGCACCTTCCTTAAAACAATGCCTTCAAGAAACCAAAGAGTTCCACACCTGGAGTGACCCATCCAGCACAGCCTGAGCTCTCTCTCCCAGAATGACATATGCCACTGCCTGGTCATTAGCTGTGATGTACAAATCCTCATCCAGGATCTTGTCCAGGACCAGTTTTCTAAACAGCCTTTCAGCATTGTGCCTGGAATAGGCAGCCCCCTTCCCAAATATTCCAGACTGAATCTTGGCACTCGTTGAACCTGTGCAACACAAAGCATAGGATGAGCCCGTGCTCACAAATCCCATGTACACATCCATTTACAGATCTGTGGGAGATTCCCAAGGCACTATATTCACATTCAAAAATGCCTTTAAACACTGGAATACCCATATTATCACTATAGCAACCCGAAATGGATTAAATCTTCAGTTTCATTTCTTTTGGATCACTTACCACCAAGAGATTCTTGGGTAAGATTAACTTCGCAAAATACATGTATTTTTAAATGCCTGCTGGCATTGCACAACCCTCTTGATTCCTGGTCAGGGATTTGTGCAGCAGGTTATTCAGGAGTCTCTGGGAGAACAGACTCACCTAAGAAAATGTCCACCATCATGTTGAGGGTGTACCTGCCAGTGCCTGGATTCCTCCTGCCGTTCACCTGCCCCGCTTGCCTGCAGTGCTCGCGTACAAAGCGCACGATGCTCTTCACATCCTCGGTCACATTCCTTGATTTATAATCCTGTTAAATCACACCTGCTTAGGACATGCCATTACTGCCCCAGTTCAAGTTGTTACTGACAACCTCAGTTTTCATTACTGAGCTTTTCTCAGCTGTGAATTGAGTTTGTTCCAAACAAAGAAACCGTGGTTTCCTAGTTAGTAACCTACAGCGATGCAGTCACAGGGATTCTGGATGTGATAAAACAGAACCAGTCCAACTGACTGTACATCATCTCCCTGGGGTTATCTGTGTAGAGAGAGGAGCAAGATTGCTGGCTAAATACTGGGAATCAAGGTAAATA